CTCCGGCCCCAGGAAGATGGGCCCAGGCAGGGGCGCCAGGCACCATGCAAGTGAGAAAGAATTCGGGTAGAATTTTCACAAGTCGCAAAGATGACTGTAGGCTTGCAGAGCCAGACACGGAAGAGAGGTGGCTCCAGACTCTTCTCAGGCGCCAACGAGAAAGATGCCGGGTGGCAGGCTGAAGACAGTGTTCCTCAGTGCCACGGCCACAGGAAAAGGAAAAAGACCAGCCAGGACCCTTCTCCATGGGAAAAACGCTCCAACCCTCTGGGGGAGGGGTGGTGAACTGCTCTACCCCAACCCCTGGGGCGTGGTGAAGACCCGACATGGCTGAAGAAGCAGTCAAAGAAAAAAGCTGTCCTTGAGGGAGCGGAGGGATCTATCCCTGGGCTCTGTCAGAGACCCCCAAACACTGGGAGAGGGCCGAAACTCTTTCCTGCGTAGGACCCGCCATCCAGGCAGAGTTGGCTTCATTCAGGGGCAGCAGAATCAGTGAGAAAGTCCCCACACTCAGGAGCTCGGAACCTGTCTAAGGCTGCAGCTGGACCAGACGACAGACACATCCTGTCAAAACCCCTCCCCTCCAAGCCAGTAAGTCAGAGCAACAAGTAATGGCAGTGTACCCCTGGGGGGTGACAGGGTTTGGGAAGAAATCCCTCTTAGGTTCGACCCAAAAGCTGAAGGTAGGGCAGGAACACTGAAGAAAGACCCTCTGGAAACTCAGCCCCCATGCTAAGCACGAGGTGAAACAACAGGAATTAAAACCAATGGTAGCTCAAGGGACCAGAGCAACGACAGAACCCAAACGCAGTGCGACTCCTACCAGACTGACTCACTTCCCACACTAAAGGCCCGTTTCCAAGCCTAAATACAACTGACCTCAATCTCTAATGTTAGCACACCATGTCCAGGTTTCAGTCAAAAAGTATAACTCATTTAAAAAGGAAAAAAAAAAATTACCCATTGTCAAAAAACAAAACAATAGAATCTGACTCAGAATTTAAAATAAATCTGATTTACATGTCAAAGGATTTCATGGAAAAGGTGTACAACATGCACGAACAGATGGGATAGTTCAGCAGAGAGATGGAGACTAGAAGCGAAAATGCCAAGGGAAAAATAAAAGCACACTAATGCTTCTGATGGACTCCCACACCTGACCTCAGACCTGACAGAATGGAAGGAAGAAGCAGTTAACCTGAAGATTGGTCAATGGAAATTACCTGAGCTGAAACACAAAGAGAAAACAGAATAAAAAATTGAGCACTCGAGAGCAATAGGATAATATCAAACAACCTAACACATGTAATTGGAATCTCAAAAGAAGAGAGAACAGGATGGAAGAAATATTCGAAGATAATAGCTGTTAGTTTTTCCAAAATCATGGAAAAAGGCATCAAACCACAGATCCAAGAATTTCAGAAAACCCCAAGCAAGATAAGTATCCTTAACCTACAAAAAAAAAAAAGTACCTAGAGATTTCACATTAAGTGCTGAAAATCAAAAAAAAAGAGAAAATGTGAAGGCAGCTACAGGGAAAAAAAGGCCGATTCCACAGAGGTCCAAAGAATTACAGCAACTAATTTCATCAGAAAATACGCAAGCCAGAGGCCACCTTGTACCTACCATGCACCTGGTACAGGGAGGAGCCCTCACCCATCACTTCACTCATCCTGAGTCACCCATCGAGGCAGGGAGCTGGTCTCACCTACCCCTGTAGAAACCACAGCTCACAGGGGTTATGTCATTTTCTAGGATCGCCCAGGTGGCAAGCAGCAAAGCTGCATTCAAACCCAAGACTTCCAGCTCCAAAGCCAGACTCTTAATCTCTAAGCACTGGTGCCTCTTAGAGACCCATTCCTGGTAGAGGAGGGGAGGATGGGAGAGAAAGGGAGAAAAGAGAATGGAAATGTGAAGCAGGCAACCTCAAGCCCATCCGCAGAGGATTCAGAGCAGTGACAAAAACCTTAACATCCCTAAGTGGCTTGAGACATCCAGTGTTATAAAACGCAGGGAAAGAAGGTGCGAACTCCCTCTTCCTTGGGGCCTGATTCTGGCTGCTCTTGTGACATTCCAAAGGCAACCAGGCATCTGAGAGAGAGGGGAGAGGCTGGCCATGGACCCTGAAACCTGACTCTCTCAGCAGCTGTGTGACTCTGAGCAAATTCCTGCCTTCTCTGAGCCTCTGAAAAGAGGCACGAGAGTTCCTCGTGGATTACCACGAGCTCCGGGCACACGGGACGCAGTAGGTGGCTGATTAACCATTCTTAAAGCATTCCAGGCCCCGTTCCAAACTGCGATTAAACTGTGTTCAAAGTAACAGACCCTAAAAGGGGGTCAAGAGCCACCTCGGTGACTGTGCGGTTTAAGCTGTGGATTTCACAGCGGGGAACAGAGGTCCGGACGCACCCAAGGGCAGCCGCTTGCGAGAAGCCGGATCCTGACCCTGAACCAGCACTTCCCGCTACACCAACTGCCACTGGCGATGATTTCCAGGTCGCTTTTTCTCTGGTTGAGAGAAAACCTTTAGGGCAGATTTTTTGGGGGGACCAATTCTTCAGTCCCCTTGATCATTCCATGTAATGAACTTTACAGGCAGCGGGGTAGGAAGAGTGAAAGCCTCAGAAGCACTGGTTTAGAGCCAGCATGGACATCTTTCCTGAGAAAACTTCCAACTTACCCTGTCACCGTCGCATGGGATGGATGAGAAGGATAGACTGGGACAAGGTCAAGAACCACGAAGAAAGCAAAAAATGAACAGAACACACTGACCTCCACAAAATTCATGACTCTGCTTCTCCCTTACTCCCAGGCTCTCGTCACCCCAACCCGACCCCAACCCGACCTCGTTGCAGCCGAGATGCATTAGCTTGCGGCATGTCACTTAACCTCCCAGATGCTCTGCTTCCTCGCCTGGGAAGTGGGAGACCAACTCTGTCCTACCTCACAGGACTTCGGGGAGAATGTGCTGTGTTGAGCATGGGAGGTGATTGATGCAATGCGCTCCTGGCTTACGTACAGTTCCAACAGGTCGTAGCTCGGGCTGCCCGGCCCTCAGGTGTACAGGGGCACGGGCACGGGCACAGGCACGGGCAGACGGAGAAATAGGAAGAGCCTGGAAAGGCCATGAGAGCTGCGGGAATTTTTTTTTTTTAGTTTTTAAAAAGAGGCTCTCTAAGGCTCTGTGTGAAGGGACCACACATAGGTCTCGAGGCCACCGCTGGATTTTCCATCAC